GATGACAGCGGCCTCCAGCAGCCAAAGGGTTAATGGTTCTGGCATGGGCTCCGCGTGGGACGCTACGAGGGGGTCAGATGTCCCTCTGGGATGGAGGTAGGCACGCGGGCTGTGCTATTCCCAGGACTCTGATCCCTGTTTATTTATAGTGCTGGGGGGGGGGGCCCTGCCCACACAGGCAGCCCTGCCGCAATGTCATCCTAGTCACTGCTGCTGCTGCGTCCAGCTGCTGACACCCCGCGCTGCAGTGGGGACAGAGAGACTGCTTTTGACTCTGCCAAGGGCTCCGGGCCGCCGGGCACTGACCATGGGCAGCACCATGGAGCCCCCCGGGGGTGACTACCTGTACCTGGGAGCAGTGACCTCCCCCGTGGGCACGGCTCGCCTGCTGCAGCTGATCTTTGGCTGCACCACTTTCAGCCTGGTGGCCCACCGGGGCGGCTTTGTGGGCGTCCAGGGTACCTTCTGCGTGGCCGCCTGGAGTTTCTGTTTCGCCGTCTCAGGGCTGGTCGTGGCCTGTGAGTTCACCCAGCTGCATAGCTGTCTGCGCCTCTCCTGGGGCAACTTCACAGCCGCCTTCGCCATGCTGGCCACCCTGCTGACCGCCACCGCCGCTGTCATCTACCCGTTGTACTTCACCCGGCTACAGTGCCCACCAGAGCCCGCGGGCTGTGTTGCTCGGGACTTCCGCCTGGCAGCCAGCGTCTTCGCAGCACTTCTCTTCCTGGCCTATGCCACTGAGGTGGCCCTGACCCGTGCCCGGCCTGGCCAGGTGGCCAGCTACATGGCCACAGTGTCCGGGCTCCTCAAGATTGTCCAGGCCTTTGTGGCTTGCATCATCTTTGGGGCGCTGGTTTACGATAGCCGTTATGGACACTACGTAGCCACCCAGTGGTGTGTGGCTGTCTACAGTTTGTGCTTCCTGGTCACGGTGGCCGTGGTGGCCCTGAGCGTGATGGGCCACACAGGTGGCCTGGGCTGCCCCTTCGACCGTCTGGTGGTGGTATATACTTTTATAGCTGCTCTGCTGTACCTCAGCGCTGCGGTCATCTGGCCTGTCTTCTGCTTCGACCCCAAGTACGGGGAGCCCTGGCGGCCAGCAGACTGCCCTAGAGGACACTGTCCCTGGGATAGCCAGCTGGTGGTGGCCATCTTCACCTACGTCAATCTGCTCCTCTACACCGTTGACCTGGCCTACTCTCAAAGGATCCGCTTCGTGCCAGCCCTGTAGCCACCGCCTGGCTTGGAGGGGAGCCAGGATTCCCGGGGAGACATGGGGGGTCTCTGGAGAAGCACTGCATTGGACAGGCCATGGCCGAGGCTCTCCTGGACTTTGACAACCCTTGGTGACTAGGTTCCAGCAGGGACAGAGGCGGACGGAGTGAGTGGCTGGAGGCTCCAAACAGGAGACAGGGAAGAGTCTCCGGCAGCTCCCTCCCAGTCCTCTGTCTCCCTCTGTCTGCCTTCTCTCCTGCCTCCCCTTCCCTTCCTTCATCTTTCCCCTTCCCTTCTCCTTTTTCCTCTATGTGCCCCAATCTCTCTCCATGTTCTGACTCTCCCTGCACTAGGGCTAGTTGGGCTGACACTTGGGAATTTGAAAGCAGGTGCTGTCGCAACCCATTTTACAGATGGGAACATCGAGGTTAGGGCATTTCAAAGGACAAGGGGATGGTCCCAGAGGTGGGGGCCAAGGTGGGGAAAGGCACTGAGGAGAGTCCACAGTCAGGCCCATGGGGAGACTGGGCACGGAGAGGAGAGGTCTATGATTGGAGGACATGGTCAGCCAGGGGAAAGGCCTCGCTCATCTCTGTGTGCTCCAGGGCCAAAGCAGTGGACCTGTACAGGTGGCCTGGAGGGACCCGAGGAGACTCCAGTGCCACCGGGATCACAGTACCCACCTAGAACCTCCGCCATGTCTGGACAGCCCCAGGCAGCCCAGGGAGACTGGCATGGTGAGCAGTGCTGCCATAGGTGAGGGCTGTCTGGGGTTAGAACCCAGGAAGCCTGAGCACTGGACACATCCCTGGTTCCCAGGCTGTCCAGCCTCTGCTCCCATATCTGGCTGTCCCTGACCACCAGGGCTGAGGGACTGTCACACTGCATACACCCATCAGCTTCCTGCACCTACAGCTTGACTGGACAGGCCAGAGCAGGCTGTGAGCCCTCAGCTTAGGGACTGCCCACCTAGCAGGAAATAAACACCAACATTGTTTTGTACCTGGCCTGGCCTAGACGTCTATCCTCAGGGGCTGGGGCCAGCTGCACATGGGATCTACTTCCCCACAGCATGCTTGGACTCTGGCTGGGCTCTGGGGGCAAGAGGACCAAGGAGTCAAGGAGTCCAGCAGCCTCTGAGGACAAGGAGACCCCTTGTAGGGACTAACCAGGCTGGCTCAGAGGAGTTGGTGTGAGCCTGTTCTCCTCCCTCCAGGGATATCCAGATATGGTGGAGAGCTGCTGGCAGCTTTAGACTTGGGGTACCACACCAGGCCTGTGTTCTCACCACACAGAATCTGAGGCCAGGAGGCCTATGTCTATTGAAATGACAGAAAACCACCACCTGGCCTGCCACCCTTTACTTAGAGGGGTGGGTATTTCTGGCAGGTAGGTGCTCAGTCTGCAGGTGTCCTGAGACCACCCCCCGGCTGAGAGGCAAAGCAGAGGACAAACGCAAATGACAAAGGAGCACAGGAACCACCTCTTCTCAGCTCACTGTGGAAGTTCTGGACAGCATCTCAGGAAGAACTCTGGTTCCTCACCTTCCTTTTCTATCCAATTTACTAGAACAAACTATGGGTCACCAGTGACCTCATCTCCTCCATGTGCCACCGACTTCTGCCCCAGCCTTCCCCACACTCTCAATTCCAAAGGTCCTGAAGGGGGTGGGGGTGGGGACCCTTGAGGTTTAGAGAGTCAGGAAGGCTAGGGCAGTGCTCCGGGTTAGCAAAAGGCCCAGTAGGGTGGTTTCTGCTGAGAGTTCACCCCCTGGAATGCCCTTTGTTTTTTATTATAGTGGCAAGAATATACACAAAACGCACATATCATCTCCATGGGTGCAATTCAGTGACCCCCATTCCACTCTTTGAAGGGTGCAACTAATCAGAGGGACGTTTAATTTTGCTTCATTTTGGGGTTGTTCATTTCCATCACTTGAAAACTGTCATCTCACAGTCAGGAAGCCTGTCCACTGGTGACAGGTCCCTGAGCTTTGTCGTCAGTTTGAATCCAGGCCTCTCCTCTGAGCTGCCATGTTTGGACAAGAACTCATCAGGGTACCTCCCAGAGAACAAGGACAGTCAGGTCTGTGGGGAATGTGGGTTAGTGCCCTATCATAGGAAGTCACCCAGCAAGTGGGTGGTGGTGGTCACTCAAGGATAAGGTCAGGATGTCAGAGCCCACAGCCCTGGTCTGTGCTAGAAACACCCAATGCATCCTGAGACTCAGGTTTTAGAGCAACTTCCCCATCATTTCAGATGCAGACCGAAATCAGAGAGAGCTCACTCTGTCCTTCTATGGGGACCAGGAGGCAAGGGGGTGAGTGGGTGATGTCTTGTTATTGTTAGGTGCCATCGAGTCGGTTCTGACTAACAGCGACCCCACTCACAACAGAATGAAACACTGCCCGGTCCGGGACCATCTCCACACTTGTTACTGTTTGAGCCGATTGTCGCTGGCACTGGATCAGTCCACCTTGTTGGGGGTCTTCCTCTTTTTCACTGTCTTTCCACCTTACCAGACATGGCATCCTTCTCCAGGGACCAGCGGACAACAAGTCCAAAAAACGAGAGACAAGTTTTGCCATCCCTGCTTCTAAAGAGCAGTCTGACTGGACTTCTTCCAAGACAGATTTCTTTGTCCTTCCTCTGTCTTCTTTCTGCTGCTGAGTGACACCCGGAACTACCCCTGGACCCTAATGTAGGCTCCACTCAGATGGGTTCTGAGCCCA